GCAGGGAGAGCGCAATCGCCACCCAAGTGTGAGCTCCTAAGCCACTGCATACTATATCGCCTATCTCCTAAACTACTGGTGCTACGGCGATGATCTTTAGCTCATATGAAAGCTCTCGACAAGCTTTTTGAATGAGCTATTTAAAATCGCCGTAACTCCAATATTTTGCAAGATAGGTTCTGCGAATGCGCGAGCGTATTTCTGCGCAGTGCCATCGCCTTAATTAGGGAGCTTTAGCAAAGCCTTACGAGTACGACTAGAGTACGATTTACGTCATTTTAGTGCGAAAACATTGTTGTGACAAGAACAACATGTAGCCGTCATCAATCTGAGTACGATGTTTTAAAAATTCGTAGTCGCGACTACGATGTCTTTTAAGCAAAGAAAGTATATTTCTTCATTCTGTAAGAAATTAGTTTACAGTACTATTTTCGAGCATCCAGGCTTTAATTTAGAATCTTCTCTGAGCGCAGATATACATTAAAAAGGAAAATATGACCTGCAAAACTTTCATGTATTTCTAACGCAAAGTGAAAGGTAAACAAACAATAAAAAAGTGCAAATATATCGTACATAAGTCTTAAAATAGTGAAAATTTTTCAGTCTAAAGAGTCTACATTCTCGCAAAACCAGTATTACCGATTTATTGATATCACTATTGACAAATAGAGCCGTAGCTGCTTCGGCGATTTCCACAATGAAAAGGCTCGTTCTGTTGTTTACAACTAAAGCAAAATTTTGACGAAGTGAAAACGACAACAAACTTCCTCGTGCCATTCTCTTACACGGTCGAACTTCGTACTCGTTGTCGTAGTCGTACTTTGCTAAAGCTCCGTACTACTGGTAACGGCGATGATCTTTAGCTCATCTAAAAGCTCTCGATGAGCTCTTTCGAATAAGCTATTAAAATCGCCGTAAGTGCAATATTTTTGCGAGACAGGTTCTGCACGTGCAGTGCTAACTCCTACATTACGGTGCTGAACTTTAGCTCATCTGATAGCTCTCAACGAGCTTTTTCGAATGAGCTATTCAAAATCACCGTAACTGCAATATTTTGCAAAATATGTTCTGCGCATGCTTGAGCTAGTTTCTGTGCATGCGAAGTGCTATCTCATAAACTAATGGTTATGGCGATGATCTTTAGCTCAACTAAATTCTCTCGACGAGCTCTTTCGAGTGAGCTATTCAAAATCACCGTATCTCCAATATTTTGCGAAATAGATTCTGCGAATGCGCGAGCCTGTTTCTGCGCATGCGCAGTGCTATCTCCTAAATTACTGGTGCTGTGGCGATAATCTTTAGCTTATCTGAAAGCTCTCGACGAGCTCTTTGGAACGAGCTATCAAAAATGCCGTAACTTCAATATTTTGCAAGAAAGGTTCTGCGCATGAGCGTATTTCTGCGCATTCGCAGTGCAATCTCTTAAACTACTGCTTAGGTCAAAATACGCTGGAGCATGCGCAGAATCTATCTCACAAAATATTGGAGTTATGGCGATTTTGAATAACTCATTCGAAACAGCTGGTCGACAGCTTCAGTTGAGCTAAAGATTATCAACATAGAGCCAGTAATTTATGAAATAGCACTGCGCATGCACAGAAATAAGCTCAAGCATGCGCACAATCTATCTTGAAAAAAATATTGGAAGTACGGCAATATTAAATAGCTCATTCTAAAGAGCTCGTTGAGAGCTTTCAGATGAGCGAAAGATCATCGTTGTAGCATCAGTAATTTAAGAGAGTGCACTGCGCATGCGCAGAAATACGCTCGAGCATGTTCAGAATCTATTTCGTATAATATTGGAGTTACGGCGATTTTGAATAGATCCTTCGAAACAGCTCGTCAAGAGCATTTAGATGACCTAAAGATCCTAGCTGTAGCACCAGTAGTTTAAAAGATAGCACTGTGCATGCGCAGAAATAGGCTCGCGCATGAGCAGAATATATCTCGCAAAATATTGGCGTTACCGCGATTTTAAATAGCTCATTCAAAACAGCTCGTCAAGAGGTTTGAGATGAGCTAAAGATCATCGCTGTAGCACCAGCAAATTAAGATTGCACTGCGCATGCGCAGAGATAGAATTGCTCATGCGCTGAATCTATTTAGCAAAATATTGGAGTTAGGGCGATTTTGAATAACTCATTCGAAACAGCTCGTTGAGAGAGTTCAATTTAACTAAAGATCATCGTCGTAGCACAAGTAGTTTAGGTGATAGCACTGCGCATGTGCAGAGATTCGCTCGCGTATGCGCAGAAATTTGCTCGCACAAGCGCAGAATTTATCTACTAAAAGATTGGAATTATGGTGATTTTGATTAGCTCATTTGAAACAGCTCGTCGAGGGCCTTAATTTGAGCTAAAGATCATCGCCGTGGCACCAGTAATTTAGGAGATAAGACTGCGCATGCGCAAATATTCTCTCGAGCATGCACAGAATTTATTCTGCAACATATTGAGTTATGGTGATTTTGAATAACTTGTTCGAAACAGCATGTCTAGAACTTTTAGTTGAGCTAAAGATCATCGCCGTAGCACCAGTAGTTTAGGAGATAACACTGCGCATGCACAGAAAGAGGCTCGCGCATGAGCAGAATCTATCTCCTAAAATATTGGAGTTACAGTGATTTTGAATAGCTCCTTCGAAACAAATTTTCGAGAGCTTTCAGATGAGCTAAAGATTATCGCAATTGAGCCAGTAGTTTATGAGATAGCACTGAAATATGCTCGTGCATGCGCTGAACCTATCTCGCATAATATTGGAGTTACAGTGATTTTGAATAGCTCATTCGAACAAGCTCGTTGAGATCTTTCAGATGAGCTATAGCTCATCGCCGTAGCACCAGTAGTTTAGGAGATAGCACTGCGCATGCGCAGAAATACGCTAGCGAATGAGCAGAATCTATCTCGCAAAATATTGGAATTACGGTGATTTCAAATAGCTACTTCGAAACAGCTCGTCGAGAGTATTAAATGAGGTAAAGATCATCGCCGTAGCACCAGTATTTTGTTTGATATCACTACGCTTGCGCATGCGTAGAACCTATCTTGCAAAATATAGGAATTAGTGCGATTTTGAAGAACTCTTTCAAAATAGCTTGTCGAGAGCTTTTAGGTGAGCTAAAGATCATTGCCGTAGCACCAGTGGTATAGGAGATACGACTGCGCATGCGCAGAATCTATCTCGCGAAATATTGGAATATGGCGATGAGCTTAAGCTCATCTTAAAGATCTTGACAAGCTCTTTCGAATGAGCTAGTCAAAATCGCCATAACTGCAATATTTTGCGAGATAGATTAAGCGAATGCGCGAGCCTGTTTCTGCGCATGCGCAGTTTTATCTCTTAAACTACTGCTTAGGTCGAAATACGCTCGATCATGCGCAGAATCTATCTTGCAAAATATTGGGGTTATGGCGATTTTGAATAACTCATTCAAAACAGCTCGTCGAGAGCTTTCAGTTGAGCTAAAGAGTATCGCCATAGAAGCAATAACTTATAAAATAGCATTGCGCATGTGCAGAAATAGGCTGAAGTATGCGCAGAATCTATCTCGCAATTATTAGAGTTACAGAGATATGAAATAAGTCATTCCAAAGAGGTCGTCGAGAGCTTTCATATGAGTGAAAGATCATCGTTGTAGCACCAGTAATTTAAGAGATTGCTTTGCGCATATGCAGAAATACACTCGAGCATGCCCAGAATCTATCTCGCAAAATATTGGAGTTACGGCGATTTTGAATAACTCATTGGAAACAGCTCGTCGAGAGCTTTCAGATGTGCTAAAGATCATCGCCGTAGCACCAGTAGTTTAGGAGACATTACTGCGCATGCGCAGAAATACCCTCAGGAATGCGCATAACCTATCTCGAAAAATATTGGATTTAAGGTGATTTTGATTAGCTCATTCGAAACAGCTCGTCGAGAGCTTTCAGATGAGCTAAAGATCATCGCCGTAGCACCAGTAGCTGATGAGAAAGAATTGCGCATATGCAGAAATACGCTCGCGCATGCGCAGATCTATCTCGCAAAATATTGGAGTTACGGTGATTTTGAATATCTCATTCAAAAGAGCTTGTTGAGAGCTTTCAGATGAGCTATAGATCATCGCCGTAGCACCAGTAGTTTACGACATAGCCCTGCACATGCGCAGGAATACGCTCGCGCATGCGCAGAGTCAATCTCGCAAAATATTTGAGTTAGGGCGATTTTGAATATCTCATTCCAAAAAGCTCTTCGAGAGCTTTCAGATGTGCTAAAGATCATTTTTTGAAATTAGTTTTGCGCATACGTGAGCTGGTTTCTGCGCATGCGCAATGCTATCTCATAGAATACTGGTGCTATGGCGATGATCTTTAGCTCAACTAAAAGCTCTCGACGAGCTCTTCCGAATGAGCTATTCAAAATCACCGTAACTCCAATATTTTGCGAGATAGATTCAGCGAATGCGCGAGCCTGTTTCTTCGCATGCGCAGTGCTATCTCCTAAGCTACTGGTGCTGTGGCGATAATCTTTAGCTTATCTGAATGCCCTTTGATGAGCTCTTTGAATGAGCTTTAAAAATCGCCATAATTTCAATATTTTGCGAGAAAGTTCTGCCCATGCATGAGCGTATTTCTGCGCATTCGCAGTGCTATCTCTTCAACTACTGCTTAGGTGGAAATACGCTCAAGCATGCGCAGAATCTATCTCACAAAATATTGGAGTTATGGCGATTTTTAATAACTCATTTGAACATATGACGCGCCAAGCATTTCTTTATTGCGTTAAAAGGAATATTCGCTTGTATAAATTACGTCGTGCAAACTTTGATTACATATATTGGCAAATATTTAAAAAAGCTTGCTCTATTTACATTTATTCTCATCCTCGATTTACATTTATTCCATATAGCTGCATTTACATTTATTCCAATGCTGGAGACCATTATTCTGTTGTTGAATTTAAAATATTCTAATCTGATTTTAAAATGTCCTAATTAAATGATAAGGACTTGTAGTACGTATTCCATATATGGATATATATTGCACAATCCATAAGAGCAAATACACGACGCTAAAGCGCAAATACATGACGATAAAGAGCAAATACACGACGTTAGCAACAACAAAAAGTCAAAATGGCTGCTCGAAGGAGTCATTCGATTTCTGAGCGACATCCATCTGTGTACTGTGATAATGAAACTTGTAGTCCTCTTATTGTACGTTGTGGTCGAAATGACTGTGGCGCTGAAAAATGCAATGGAGAGATGTATCATTGTCCTTTGTGTCCTCCTGAAAAATTTTCAAAAGAAATTCCATCAAGAGTAAAAGAACACTTTAAAAGCGTCCACTGGGAAAACAGGATTCATGAATTTGAAGGTAAAATGTGCTTATTTCTGCGTAGGTTTAATACATAACCCACGTCAATGAGCGAAACGCACAAAGAACTTTGGATTAAATCACAAGTATTGATTAAATCATGAAGAATTTAGGTAATTTTAATAAATAATTTGAGAAATTGGGTTTAAACTTATAAAATATTTAGTTTTCTAAACTGCATCATCACAGCTGAAGATAGGTACTCTCAATTATAAATGAAAACCACATGCTTTTAACAGAAACTAACTTTGTGCTGTGCTATTTCCCTAAAATAGAAAAGCATTATTAACCTATCTTATATTTATTGAATATCATTTGATTGTATGCTCATCTAGTTAATATTGTATTTGTCTCACTATATATCCATAATATCCTATCATTTCCATATTCTTTCTTTACTATTTCTTGTTTTTTTTTATGTAAGGTTTTGACATTCTGAGGTGTAAGCTGTCATGTACTTTTGCATCCAAACGACATGGCTCAGATGTCAAGCATTTCAAAGATGTTTCGCACTATCACTGTTTTGGATGTAATTCTGGATTCAAGCGTCGCAATGAAGCAATTCGACATATAAGAAGTGCACATGATTTACAGCTTTCTGTTGTAGAGTTTGGTTCGGGGAAACAACAACAATGTTCTCAAAGTCAACTTTCTCCACATAAAGTAGCCCAACAGCAAGTACCTCAAAACCTACCATTTGAGCAGCAAATGCATCAAACTCAGTTCCCTCAAGTTCAGCAGCATCAGCTGGAGCACCAAGTGACCACTCAGCATCTCACACAGCTGCAAACACAGCAACAACAAGAGCAATTTCTACATATGCGGCTATCTGAGGAAACACACCAACAAAGCAGCACAAACATAGAAATGTCTGAGGTTCAACAATATCAGGAGTTTTCTTACATGCCTGCTCAGTCTCGTTCAATGCGACAACAACCACCCAGAGTTAAATGTCCTTTCCGGACTGTAAACGAGAATTTCATCCAAATTCCCTTTCAAGCCACATAAAGACCAAACATGCTGCTGATAAAAGAAAGAAAATATCTTCAATGAGGTACTTGAATGGAATATGTGTTGACTCGACAAATGGGGTTTATCTTGTGAGGAAACAACTTAGTGGAACAGATCATCCCATTCATTGTCAATTTAAAACCACAAACTCTCCTTCTATTGCATGTAGTGTTGATACATGTCGTCAACTTAGCGAAACTGCTTCAAGAAGTGGTCAAGCAAATTTTCTTTGTGATCATGTGCAGTCTACATATTTTATTGGGACGTCAACTGTTGTTGATCATTTAAGAGAAGATTCTCTTGATTATATAGTGAACACTTTGAAATGGTTGAAATTTGAACGGAGGTCTGAATGTCTGCAGTGGCAGAAACAAGCTAATGACAAGAATACCCCACTTGTTGTTCAGATGCCTGTCACACCTGATTCCTCCAATCGTTTCTTTCATTTTTCTGTGTTTGCAAATGTTAAACGGGATCATTACTGGTCATTTTGCAAACGAGTAATTGTATCATATGACAATGAAACTTCATCATTTCATTGCAAATGCTGCCCATCTCGTCGTTCCTGCATGCATAAATGCATTGTTAAGTGGGCAATTGGACAGTGGCATCCCTCTGTTGTTGGCACCACCCACCAATTGATGATGAAATTGGTGAAGATTTAAGTTTACCAGAACCAGAAGATAATGCTGTTGAAGACGTTCTACTTGAAAATCAAAATCAAATTTCCCTATCTGGCAGCTTTTTTTATCCTCCTTCTGGAGATGTGGCTGCAAAGTTTGTTGAATACCTGTTTGCTGAAAAGAAAATCCCTTCACACCTTCCTTTGACATTAACTGTGGAAAAGGAACAATTTGCTAAAAGGTAACTGTTTATTTAAATCGAACAAAGCAACCTTTTATTATTGCATTGTCTTCACTCCAACGAAAATATTCTCCAACGGTTTAGTTCCTTATTGAAAATGACATTCTTTCCATTAACTAAAACAGCAAAAAGATTTATTGTTTGTATTGACATTGTCTTGTCTCCTAGTTACCTTCCTGTAGAAACCATCTGTTTTTATTGTAAATCACCACTAACTGAGCCACACTGTGTAACAAGAAATGCAAAGTTGGTAACTATGAAAGGGATTATTGAAGGTTTGTCATTAATATGAAACAGCGTGTATATATCATCGATTTAAATCTCGAACTTTAGATAAGACATTGAGTTGAAGATAAACCCAAAATGTACAGTTACACATTTTATGGATTGTTTTGTATAGTTACCAGAGTGCTCAAACCTATAACGGTGAGCTTTGCATAGGGCGAAAGCGTTGAACGTGTCATATGGACTCTCTACGTAGTCTGTGGAAAATGCTCAAACTATGCATGAGCAGAAAGCGTATTATACAATGTATACATATATGTGTGTGTATCTTTTTCTTTGTTCTTCCAGGAATTTCGCTGTTTGCAAAGTTTTGTGTCGAGTGCAAGATACCGTACAGATACCAGGAGTATTCAGCTGGTGTTCACAATTTTAATGACAACTGGCTTTTAAGTTTGGGAATATGTGATATGATCAGAAAACATCTTCAGGTATGTTATTTTTAAAGCATTTAAGAACCACTTGTCACTATTCCTTCCTCTCTTTTCTCTTGATGTAAATTTTTTAACTGGGTGATGGCCTTAACCAAACTGTGCATCATCCATATTGTACCACCCACTCCCCAATTTTTGCATGTTGATAGTTAAGAAAAACAAGGAAGGGATATTAATAACCAGGTATGCATGCTATAAATGAGCATGTATTGTATGAAAATATAGGTTCACAACGCTGTCAGTCGCACTGTTGAGGCAATTGAAAACTGGCTGCAGTTGCGACCATTTCAGTTACCACGTGGTCAAATGATGAACGCGTATCTTCACTTTGAAGCTCTCTCAGATCATGACTATGGGTTTTCTTGTGTTTTGTGTGGACACTTTCCTCCCTGTTAACTCTAGATGTAGACAAGAAAGGAATCTTTGAACTAGCGGGTAAATTTGACTGATAATTTGGCAAACTTTTTATGAGTGGTTTTGTTACATACTTTTACATTGTCATTTTTTAGGTTTGTTGACTTGAATTTTGATTTTGTTAACTTGTATTCATTTGCATTGTAGTTAGTGAACTTCAGTTGCCAGACCCCGAATCCGATGCTCCTGCAGATGAAGTGGACGCTGAAAAGTACTGGCAACAAGTGAACTGTGGGATCTTATACAGAGGAGTATTGAGAGGTACGTACGTGCTACAATGTTTATGTACTCACTGCACGTGAAAGTTTAACGTTTTTTCTTACATAATTTATTTTTGGTTTATTTTGTTTACAAATCCGGTTTATTTTGTTTACAAATCCTTATGATTGATTTGTTTGATGTGCACGTAGCGTATACACCATCTGGTGTGTTTGAATTATGATAATGCTTGTAGTTTTTCAATTGTTTGTAGGTACTGAAAAAACCCTTTAGAAATCAAGCCTTCATATAAGTTTTGGGCCCCATATATTGGCCCAAAATGCAGAAGAGGAAGGAAACTTTTTAATACCGAATACATGAAAGCGTATCATAAACAAAACCTAACATCAGCTGGGGCTACATCTGATGAATGTTCAATTGAAAAGCTCATGGATTTGTTCTGTGAAGGAAAAGTGCGTATTGCTATTAATTATTAGGCTGTGTAGAAACTTTTGGGATGAGTTGGTTTACATAAAAGTCATTCTCTGTGTACTTTTTAGGTACCTGTTATAAGAGAAATGGCCAGAAGTTTAAATGTGAGCGACAAGGGGTCGAAACTTGATATAATTAACCGTATAAAATCTGTTTTGAATATCGAAGAAACGTTTCTTAAACTTTTCTCAAAGATGTGGGGTGGTTCAGGTAAGGTTAACTTGAAATTGTTTCACAAAGACGACGATTTTCGTAAAGCATTATGTATTGTGCTTCTTACCTTTATTCCTACCTACATACGTTTTATACATTAATCTTTTGTGGATATTGGTGTGTTAGCTTACAAAAAATTCATCAAATGGTTTCCTTTTTCGGGCAAAAGGTTCAGGTTCAATTCCTGTCTGATGACGTATGTGAGTTAGATATAACAAAAACATAGTTTTGTACTTTTATGTGTTAAATTTGTTGATATATTGAGTGCACATTGTGTGAGAAGACAGCAAACTTAGCAAATTCATTATTATAATTTCAAATGGATAAATAATTTTATTTTTGGCACAGGCGGTTGGTTGGGAATGACGTGTCCACATGGAGTATGCTATGGTCTGAAATGGCTATTGCGACAAGAAGGACCACGAGATCATGTGGACATGCTTATGAATCTCGCTGCTGTTCCGAATGTTACCATATTGGATATGGCAAACATGATTGTAGCTCATGCAAGGAACAGAGGATACGACGTTTTCATCCATTCCAAGGTCGTGTTGCTGAATATAGCCTGGAAAATATCAGACGAGCTAATAGTGGTGAGCTAGAGATAGACTGGCCTTGGTTTCCAAACGGAGAAAGATGCGACTTGTCAACTGTCGTACAAAGGTCGGATGGTGAGCAGCTTCTGTGTAATCCCTCAACTAGATCTTCTGATCATTACTGCCTGTTTGATCAATTTCACGAGAAAAATTCCACGAACCCAGCCGATTGCTTGCGAAGAGTGTCTTGCGTTAACCAACTTGCCGGGAAGATCAATTCAGAAACTGCTGAACAACTCAACAACAGACGAAACCGTGATAATTACTTCACAACATCTTTGACAGCTCACAATTCCGTCTTCATGGAGCGATTGGCAACTCATTTTAGTAATGAGAAATTAAACCAACGTATCATAAATACTCATCGCAAGCAGGTAAGTGAGTGTTTTATTCTTTATTTTTAATGGAGTCTAAGTGATGTTGCCTTTTCCAGTTGCCGGAATAATCTTTTAAAATGTATGAAATCTTCTGTCTCTTCACAGTTTGGAATGGCTATGAGTTTTAACTCCTTCGGTCAACTTATAAGTAGAAATGAAGATGATGGGACCGAGCAGGCATCACAACCAAAACGCGTCCGTTTGTCGACTGAAAGTCTTTCAACAGCTAACAGACCTGCCACAAGTAGCACTGGAACACTAAATGATGCTTGTGATGAGTTGACACACGTTGCTGAGAAAATGAATCCCTCAGCTACAAGCAGCTACGACCTTGTTATAGACTAGTTGTGACCTCGTCAGTCGTCATCAAAGCTTAAGTGATATTTGACATAAAGGAAGCTCAATTTCTGTTTGGTTGTTCACAGCTTGGCAAAGAACATTGTAACAAGTCGAATTCCAAAGTCGAATTCCATTACAATCTGTAGATCTAATTCCAATATATATACTTATTCATATAGAACTGATGTCCAATGCCTGAACACTAAATTCAAATTTCTTTCAAGCATTTCATCAAATTTTCTCAAATTCTTATATAATTCATAAAACATCTAATTATACCTAATGTGAAAATTTTATGTAAAATAAAGACGTCCTTCGATGTGAACTGATATATCATTATCATTAATATGCCTATTACCATTTTCAAATATACTATATATAGTATACATACGTATAGATAGCCAATGCCTAAATAGAATCTTAAGTTCTTTGAAGCATTTCATCAAATTTTCTCAAATTCTTATATAATTCATAAAACTTCTAATCATACCTAATGTGAAAATTTCATGTAAAATAAAGACGTCCTTCGATGTGAACTGATATCCTTATACTATATTATATACTATATATAGTATATATACATACGTATAGATAGCCAATGCCTAAATAGAATCTTAAGTTCTTTGAAGCATTTCATCAAATATTCTCAAATTCTTATATAATTCATAAAACTTCTAATCATACCTAATGTGAAAATTTTATATAAAATAAAGACGTCCTTCGATGTGAACTGATATCCTTATACTATATTATATACTATATATAGTATACATACGTATAGATAGCCAATGCCTAAATAGAATCTTAAGTTCTTTGAAGCATTTCATCAAATATTCTCAAATTCTTATATAATTCATAAAACTTCTAATCATACCTAGTGTGAAAATTTTATGTAAAATAAAGACGTCCTTCGATGTGAACTGATATCCTTATACTATATTATATACTATATATAGTATACATACGTATAGATAGCCAATGCCTATAGAATCTTAAGTTCTTTGAAGCATTTCATCAAATATTCTCAAATTCTTATATAATTCATAAAACTTCTAATCATACCTAGTGTGAAAATTTTATGTAAAATAAAGACGTCCTTCGATGTGAACTGATATCCTTATACTATATTATATACTATATATAGTATACATACGTATAGATAGCCAATGCCTAAATAGAATCTTAAGTTCTTTGAAGCATTTCATCAAATTTTCTCAAATTCTTATATAATTCATAAAACTTCTAATTATGCCTAATGTGAAAATTTTATGTAAAATAAAGACGTCCTTCGATGTGAACTGATATCCTTATACTATATTATATACTATATATAGTATACATATGTATAGATAGCCAATGCCTAAATAGAATCTTAAGTTCTTTGAAGCATTTCATCAAATTTTCTCAAATTCTTATATAATTCATAAAACTTCTAATCATACCTAATGTGAAAATTTTATGTAAAATAAAGACGTCCTTCGATGTGAACTGATATCCTTATACTATATTATATACTATATATAGTATATATACATACGTATAGATAGCCAATGCCTAAATAGAATCTTAAGTTCTTTGAAGCATTTCATCAAATTTTCTCAAATTCTTATATAATTCATAAAACTTCTAATCATACCTAATGTGAAAATTTTATGTAAAATAAAGACGTCCTTCGATGTGAACTGATATCCTTATACTATATTATATACTATATATAGTATACATACCTATAGATAGCCAATGCCTAAATAGAATCTTAAGTTCTTTGAAGCATTTCATCAAATTTTCTCAAATTCTTATATAATTCATAAAACTTCTAATTATGCCTAATGTGAAAATTTTATGTAAAATAAAGACGTCCTTCGATGTGAACTGATATCCTTATACTATATTATATACTATATATAGTATACATATGTATAGATAGCCAATGCCTATATAGAATCTTAAGTTCTTTGAAGCATTTCATCAAATTTTCTCAAATTCTTATATAATTCATAAAACTTCTAATCATACCTAGTGTGAAAATTTTATGTAAAATAAAGACGTCCTTCGATGCGAAATGATATCTTTATACTATACGTTATACTATATATATAGTGTGTACATAAACAATTTTTTGCGCATTGCTGTAACCTTTTAAAATGAGCACTACAGGAATCGAACCCATATACTAGAAACAGCTAGCAAACCATTATGCTCGTTTAAAGGACAACAACAAACTTTTTCTGTTTTTCCATCAAATTTTATCACGTTATTGATTGTTCTTAGTCTCCTTGATTGATCACAAACGCAAACTACTGCTAAATACAAATGGCTGATATTAATGTTCGAGGCATATAAGAATATTATCACAATTTTAACGCAACCTGGGCACATTCACTTCTTCATTCAGGCCATGCAGTAAAACTTATTTTAAATGACAACTTTTCCCAGAACTGTTTCACCCCGAATGATAGGTCCCAAAGAAATTATGGATTTATCCACACTTGTTTTGAAAGGGATACGTTGCTCTAGTTTGGGTGAGATGTCAGTGAGCACTTGTTGCTGTAGAATCTCAAGTTTTTCTGTTGAATTCTGTTACCTTTTCATGGTGATTGGGAGAATACTGGAAGAGTGCTCCATCAAACACTCAACGATATTAGTAGAACATCTAAAACATTCAGATGCATTAGACGATAAACGTTCAACACAAAGAATAGCACAATTCGTTGCACGTTTGGCTCTGGTTCGTCCAGACCATTTGTTGTTTGTTACAAATCGTTGTAAAATAAGCAAATCAAACATATGATAATTAAATGGATTCAATAGACTCTTGAATGCTTTGCCGAACTACTTAAGAGGCAATATTATTATCCAATAATATAATTAGAAAATAGTTTATGACGTTAATGATAGAAGAACATGGAAATCTACATGTATGTCTTATGTCTAATAGGAAATCTCTATAGAACTGTCCATTGAAAATCTTGTTGTTTTTAATGTTTTCATATTACGTTTAAAGGACTGCTGTAATTGGAGAAAGTTCCTAGCCAATTGGTAGTAATCTATGTTACTTTCTGGTGAATATGTTGGGAGATTGGTGTCATACTTTATGGACATAGTAACGTTTTTACAAAACATTGAAATTTCTGGTGCAATCTTATATCATGTTTGGATCAATTGTTTCCTTTGGACAATTAATGAGTCGTGACATTCTACAATTTTAAAACTGCTGAAAAGTGCTAATTCAACTTACTTTTCAGTTTTCTGCGTTTTTTTGCGATGCTCATTTTCTAACGGCTTATTACGATTCCTGGACTAATCGCAATAAAACGTTAATGAACAAAAAATACAAAATTGAGTCAACTAAATGCAGTAAATTCTTTCTGAACCGTATTGAACATACTTGTAACTTATTTACGGCACTCTAAGGAAACAGTGTGTTTTGTGGTTGAGAAACGCTGATGCATATTGCTCAGGAAAAAGCTAAGGCAACAACAGCCAATGGTTTTGAGGCGAAAACGTAAGAGCACACAGGATTTTACCGTTAAAAGAATCATTAAATTAGTTAGTGCTGCATTCAATGTAGTAATCAGAAATTTTATCTACCACAAATGTCACTAAATCAACGTCAGTTTTGCAAGCAAATCTTCACACTTGGCTTGGACAAATAACTGGAAACAGTGGCGGATCCAGTGTACCTCAAAATAAATTATAGCTCCTCAATTTGATATTCAAATTACATTCAGAAAAACTATTGGTTTTGAATTTCTAAAGAATATAATTTTGCCAATGAATTTGCCTCTAAGATATATTGGATAAATGAACTTAACGTTGCGGTTTAACGATAAAATGGATCTATTAGCTGCTTTCGTTGAAAAGAACAGTTTCTCTCACTTCTTTCCACATATCACGTTGACACGTCATGGAAGTGCCAAATATTTTGTATTACTTTATCTCAAAATTTCTTTTAAATAAGATTCAATATGTACTAGTACGAAACCCTATGTAATGTACTTTTAAAGTTATGGAACAATTATCTTTATAATATTGCCTTATGTTTTCTAACTTGCAGTACATCACATTGTATTTTATCTCAATTTCAAAAGTTGCCCGACTAGACGAACGACGGATGTCACTCCCTGCCATACCCTCCCCTTCCCAAGAAGTTTAAACCGTGTAGGACGATTAGATTACAAAATTGTATCTTTGAGTTGCTATATCATTGAAATTATAAGATAATATCTTCTGAAACAGGCATGCACATGCAGCCAACAACTTCAACAGTTTTTAGAGGACACTAAAAGGTTATGCACCAGAGTTTATGAGTTTTAGAGGTTATGCACCCTCTCCGACAACACAGACATGAGACAATAATGCCTGTCTTATACTTCACATTTTACATGAGTCAAATGCATTCAAAACAAAAGATAATGAGGAATTTCATCTCATTTTCTTTTATCTTTAATGCATTTAACGCATGTAAAATACAACAAAGTCATTAAACAATACATTCAACAATAAAGTCATTAAACAATACATTCATTGAACAATATAGTCATTAAACAATACAGTCATTAAACAATACAGTAATTAAACAATACAGTCATTGAACAATACAGTCATGAAACAATAAAGTCATTAAACAATACAGTCATTAAACAATACAGTCATGAAACAATACAGTCATTAAACAATACAGTCATTAAACAATACAGTCATTAAACAATACAGTCATTAAACAACACAAACATTAAACAATACAGTCATTAAACAATACAGTCATTGAACAATATAGTCATGAAACAATACAGTCATTAAACAATACAGTCATCAAACAATACATTCATTGAACAATATAGTCATGAAACAATACAGTCATTAAACAATACAGTTATTGAACAATACAGTAATTAAACAATACAGTCATGAAACATTACAGTCATTAAACAATACAGTCATTGAACAATACAGTCATTAAACAATACAGTCATGAAACAATACAGTCATTAAACAATACAGTCATTGAACAATACAGTCATTAAACAATACAGTCATTAAACAATACAGTCATTAAACAATAAAGTCATTAAACAATACAGTCATTAAACAATACAGTTATTGAACAATACAGTCATTAAACAATACATTCAACAATAAAGTCATTAAACAATACATTCATTGAACAATATAGTCATTAAACAATACAGTCATTAAACAATACAGTAATTAAACAATACAGTCATTGAACAATACAGTCATGAAACAAGAAAGTCATTAAAACAATACAGTCACAATACAGTCATGAAACAATACAGTCATTAAACAATACAGTCATTAAACAATACAGTCATTAAACAATACAGTCATTAAACAACACAAACATTAAACAATACAGTCATTAAACAATACAGTCATTGAACAATATAGTCATGAAACAATACAGTCATTAAACAATACAGTCATCAAACAATACATTCATTGAACAATATAGTCATGAAACAATACAGTCATTAAACAATACAGTTATTGAACAATACAGTCATTAAAACAATACAGTCATGAAACAATACAGTCATTAAACAATACAGTCATTGAACAATACAGTCATTAAACAATACAGTCATGAAAATTACAGTCATTAAACAATACAGTCATTGAACAATACAGTCATTAAACAATACAGTCATTGAACAAAAGTTATTAAACAATAAAGTCATTGAACAATACAGTCATTAAACAATACAGTCATTAAACAATACAGTTATTGAACAATACAGTCATTAAACAATACAGTCATGAAACAATACAGTCATTAAACAATACAGTCATTGAACAACAATACAGTCATTAAACAATACAGTCATTGAACAATAAAGTCATTAAACAATAAAGTCATTGAACAATACAGTCATTAAACAATACAGTCATTAAACAATACAGTCATTGAACAATAAAGTCATTAAACAATAAAGTCATTGAACAATACAGTCATTAAACAATACAGTCATTAAACAATACAGTCATTAAACAATACAGTCATTAAACAATACAGTCATTAAACAATACAGTCATTAAACAATACAGTCATTAAACAATACAGTCATTAAACAACACAGTCATTAAACAATACAGTCATTAAACAATACAGTCATTGAACAATATAGTCATGAAACAATACAGTCATTAAACAATACAGTCATCAAACAATACATTCATTGAACAATATAGTCATGAAACAATACAGTCATTAAACAATACAGTCATTGAACAATATAGTCATTAAACAATACAATCATGAAACAATACAGTCATTAAACAATACAGTTATTGAACAATACAGTAATTAAACAATACAGTCATGAAACATTACAGTCATTAAACAATACAGTCATTGAACAATACAGTCATTAAACAATACAGTCATTGAACAATAAAGTTATTAAACAATAAAGTCATTGAACAATACAGTCATGAAACATTACATTAAAACAATACAGTCATTGAACAATACAGTCATTAAACAATACAGTCATTGAACAATAAAGTTATTAAACAATAAAGTCGTTGAACAATACAGTCATTAAACAATACAATCATTAAACAATACAGTCATTGAACAAAGTTATTAAACAATAAAGTCATTGAACAATACAGTCATTAAACAATACAGTCATTAAACAATACAGTCATTAAACAATACAGTCATGAAACAATACAGTCATTGAACAATACAGTCATTAAAACAATACAGTCATTAAACAATACAGCCATTAAACAATACAGTCATTAAACAATACAGTCATTAAACAATACAGTCTTTGAAACACAGTCATTGAACAATACAGTCATTAAACAATACAGTCATTAAACAATACAGTCATTAAACAATACAGTCATGAAACAATACAGTCATTAGATAATAATGTCATCAAACAATATAATCATCAAATAATAGGGTCATTAAATAATACAGTCATTAGACAATACAGTCATTTAAAAATGCAGTCATTAGACTATGTAATCATTAGACAATACGATCAAAACAATAAAGTCATAAAAAATCATCAGAAAATGTCATCAGACAATAAAATCATAAAACGATACAATCATCAGAAAATATAGTAATCATACAATAATGTAATGAAACATAATAATCATAAGACAATGAGGTCATCGAACATCACAGTTAACAAACAACATAATCAAGAGACAACCCATACTTCAGAGAACACAGACAGTTATTAGACCACAAATCTAATAGAGACACAAACATACAAACTAGAAAGTTATCTGATTAGAAATACCATAAAACAACAAGGACTAGAAATGTAATTTAAGAAACAAAAGATTTAATCACTTTGGAGCCAAAACATAAACAAAGTTTGTCCATCTACTGCTGCAGCAACTAGTTTGAGTAAATTTCGTGAGTTGATAAGATAAAATACAAAGGATTAATAGTTATAGTACCTTCTTCATTACATCGAGATGGGACTGCTTTTATCAATAGAGTACAATCTTTTTTCCATTAAAGACCAAAGCCTGTCTCACTTGCCGCCTTTAGTGAGGCTGTATTCATAGAAAGTAAAACCCACTGTTGACAACCAACCACGTCGTGTATTTGCTCTTTATCGTCATGTATTTGCGCTTTAGCGTCGTGTATTTGCTCTTATGGATTGTGCAATATATATCCATATATGGAATACGTACTGTATGTACATATGAATTAAATTCATAATACTGCGCGCGCGCGTCGAACCAAAACATCATGGCCGACAAACGACAAAGTCTTGCAGCTGCTTGTGAACAGGCTGCTATTGCTCTCCGTTCAATTCAAAGTATAACCAGCGAAGATGTTCAACGGATTGCTGCAACTACGTCTAATACTTCAGATGCAGAAGCAGAGAATCTAACGTCTATCCGAGCTGAATTGGCGCAAAGGTTTCCAAGCTATCGCCCATCGCCATCGGCATCCGGATCTGGAATTTCTGTTCAAGGCAAACATAGCGATTCAAATAGACAAAACAAGAAAAGAACGTGGACTACTAGAACAACAACCAAAAGAGGAAGACCTAGTACATCTAATATTGTCTATAGAGATTTAGTGATCATTCCCAATCCTGAAACGACAAAGGTCCCCACACATAAGGCTCGTGTAGCACTTGAAAAAAATAGACTTATCGTGTCAGGTTTTCCCTTTGACCGATCTTGGGATGCTGCCACCTTAAAATGCAACATTGAGCTACAACTACCAAAACGTCATGTGCTTTTTGAGTATATGAAGGTAAGGTTGTTTGGAATCCAGCATATCTTGACTCAATAGCCAGGGAGTTGTCCTGTATCCACTTAGTAACTAACTTATTTAAACTTGTTCAAATTTTAAACATCCCTCTTCTTGTTTGTACACAATGGTAGTTTTTTTCTTCAAGTTTGCTAATTTAATAGTCTTAAACCTCGGGTGAAAGTCAGCATTTATTTTAAAACCAATGTTCATTTGATACTAAGCTCTCTGATTTCTGTAATCTTAGCTAGTATGTATAAATTATTGACCTGCATAACTTTTAAAATATGTGAAAATTGTGTTTTATTTAGGAAACCAAAATTAGATTGCTCTTGTACATAATAGCAGATTAACACCCCTTCCTATTATATATGCAAATGTAAGCATTTATCATGCACCCCCACATGCTTTTATTACATACGTATGAAATGGGCAAAACCCTGCATGACCAGTCTGTATCTCCAATGTTGTGAAAGTTTTACACACCAAAATCTTAAAATTTTATTTATGGGATCATGGCTCATTTTGTCAACACCTTGTATGATCCTGCCAAGATCATGATTCATCTTGACAAGACTTAGGAAAGATGTTTCAAGGTCTTGGGTGCTTAAGCTGTGAATGCTAATTGGTGATTGATTCTTATGTTACACAATAATTGTTATCAAAACGTTTATTTCACCCATACTTTTTACAGGCATGTTATGGAGAACTTGTCAAACCCAAGTTTGCTAATGGATGTTCAATAAATGCAGATGCTTTGCTGAAAGTCTCTGGACAAGGTGCTGTGTATGTTCGTTTATTGGAAAAGCATGCTGTGTTTGAGTTAGATTGTAGTTCTTCTGACTCTGATGGTGAAAGCCTTATTCAAACTACAATGAATGTCTGTAAGTTAAAACTCACGCTATTATTTATTTCATTACTATGGTGCTAAAATTTGGGTGCACATATAAAAAATATATTTTCTTTAAAAATTAGATACAAGTCGTGCTAATGACAACAATTATCAGGAGGAATTGTCAACACCAGTCACAACACCAACTATTAAGAGCTCTTCCTCTGAGAATTATCAAACACCATTTGAAGGTAGCATACATATTTAGGTATGCCTAGGTACTACTATATTCTATTTTTGACTATGTTTTTCCCAATTTCAGAATTTTGGTGAGTGATGGTGAGTTTGTTGCATCTGTTGATATTCAGTCTTATACATCACCACAAGTACTTGCTACTCCTGAAGTCATTTCTACATCCAACCTTCCTGTGTCATATGCAGCACAAGAATCGACAGATGCTATACAAGAATCGACAACCATCACACTTCACAGATCCAATCTTAGAAAGGAGTTTATGTTGATATTTCTTGATGAGGGCATCTTGAATAAGTTTGTAGTTGTAAAGATGGTCAATGATCATGGTAATGAAGAGAAAGGTGATGGTGATGGAGTTTTTCGTGATGCTCTTTCCTTTTCTGGCAGGACGCACACATTAGCTTGATGTTAGGAGAAGATGAAAGAGTTCCGTGCATACGACATGATATGAATAGAAGCCTTTGGGAAGCTGTTGCTCGCATTTTTCTCAAAGGATATCTTCAAGCGAATTATTTTCCTGTCTAAATATCTCAAGTATTTATTGTGTCTCTTTTTTTTGGCGAAAATGCTATTTGTAGAGAGATGTATTTGGAATCCTTTAAAAGGTACATCTCAAGGGAAGAGGCTGAAGTTATTGAGAAAGCACTTTCAAGGATTATCCTTGGATGATGATGATTTTAAAGATTTCCTTACAGCCTTTGACTGCTGAAAGGTTGTCAAAGAAGAGAATCTATCTGATATTTTGATTGATTTCATAAAAGCTTGTTCAGAAGCCAAAATATGTTGCAGATTGTTGGGAAACTATCCTTTCAAAGATTAAGATGTTTTTCCAACAGTTGATACTTTGGAAATGCATTTCAAAGTTGAAACCTACATCAGCAAAGATTTTTAGAATGTTTATTGCAAATCCAGAAAGCTCAGCAGAATCAGAAAGTATGTCGCATTTGAAGAGATATGTTAAAGGATTAGATGATTCTTTGTTACGAATTTCTCAGACTTTGTACTGGTTCTGATGTTGTCATTGTTGAAGGTATTAAAGTCACATTTACATCACTCGCTGGAGCAGGGAGAAGGCCTTTTTTCATGCATGTGGCTGTGTAATTGAACTACCTTCAACGTATGAAGACTTCTGATTTTAGGCAGGAATTTACTAACATCTTGAACCAGGTGGATATAGAAATGGACCTGGTATAGACGAGAATGTTTATTAATTCTTTAGACATATTATTTAATGTTAAGGACTAACTCGTATGTATACATACAATGATACAACTACATGCACATATGGAGTTATTGTTCAATTGTTTATTTTGAGCGTAATTTTGTTTTACAACTTAGTTTGCTATATTCATATATCAACCAATATTTGTTTGAAAATTGTTGCCAATGTACTGCCTGTTACCTAGTATTTCTTCAATAAGATTTACCGTTTGTAAATATGCCATAACACCGTCTCCTGATTCAGCATTAATGTTTTCTTTTACAAAGGAAGTGCCATCATTGTTCAAACCAGTATCAATCACAGGAACTGTCACTTGGTAATCTGCATAATCAACATCAAGTTGACCTTCATTGTCAACACCATAAGCTTGCATCTCTGCTTCATTTGAAAAGCTATCAACACCAGTGTAACCTGAATTTAAACTTTTCAGTACACCTTGAGTAAATAACTGAATTGGCGAACGATTGTTCTGATGAGAGTGGGTGGTGTTGCCATTGCTCAACAAACTCTTCAAGTGATTTGTTTATTCTTCTTTAAATATGAAATGAAGTGCAAACATGTGCACTTCGTTTAATGGATCTAAGAGTCCTGAATTCTCCAAATCATTGAAAACAGATGCATAAAAGCACAACACTCCAGCATACACATCTCGTATTCTTTCAACTCTGCAGTTATGAACAGAGCTACCAGTAATGATACTACCCGATTTAAACCTCTTTGTTCCAGCATATAAGTAGCAACTCGAAATTCTCCATGCCATGGTCACTACGAACTCTTGACGGCAGTCCATAAGTTCTCACTCCTTCCTTAATTTTTTTAGGACTGTGTTGCTTCTATTGTTATCTGCACAGTGCACATAAACAAGTAATCGCGAGTAACCATCAATGCAGCAGTGCACAACAAACCGATATCTTATTAACTTATGATTGCCGTCTATGTGCCATAAGGCGTTTGGGCAAGGAACTGAGTATGTTTGTCGATAGATAACTGGTCTCCATCTTAATGTAATACCAATTGGATCTACTCGCCTTAAACTGTCTCGTACTTTTCTTCGTTGGACACGTATGTGTCTACCTCGCAAGGCTCCCATCAGCCTACGCTCACCAATATTTGGAGTTAGTTTTTGTATATCTTTAACGACACTATCTAAATCTTCACTGGATATTTGAGACCATTGTAAGTCATAGTCTACATTTAGACCAAACTCTTCTCGCTTTCTTGTTATAGTTATACTAACACCTAAAATCTTGGCAATGGTTCTCCAATTAAAGTGTAAAGATCTTAAAAATTCCAGTTGTTCTTTACTGACTTCAATTTTAGGACGACCAGGACCATTACCTAACTTTTTTTTTCGGCATGAAAAACCCAAATACGTTGTACTTGGCCGTTGGCGACATAGAATTCCGCATATTTCATCAACATTTTGCATAAGTAAGATTAGACGAGTCTTTAGTGAGTTAAATTCCCCCTCGTGTGTTCTCGTTATTTCTGAGATGTGATCAGTCAACATGCGTAACGTTGCTGATGCCTCTACCAGTCGCCTAGTTAAAGCCTCCAAGATCTCCTCGTCTGCACTTTCTAAACTTTCGTCAAGATGGTAGACTTGACTAAATATAGATTTAAGTTCGTGAAAGAAAATATGCAATCCTCGCTCATTGCGCTCTCTCGGATGATTTACACTACCACTTGTCGCCATTTTGTTTTATCTTAATGAGCGCGCGCAGCATTATGAATTTAATTAGGACATTTTAAAATCATATAGAATATTTTAAATCCATATTAGGCCGTATTCTATGGTGGATTATTGTTCAGGTTGAGATGCAGAAATTCATGACTAAGTAAAAACAACATAGATGTACTGATATGTACTCACTTAATATAAATCTGCCTGTTTACATCCCGAAAACTTGCAATCAAGAGAGCTAGAGCCATCAAAAATTCGACATTTATGTTCTATATCCGCCATATTGTTTTGTGTGAAATTCGCTAAATTTGCTGGCTCATATTCAAAAGAACGGTGCTAAATAATGATTAAGGATCAATCTTTCTAAGTTAATTTGAAATGATATGTTTAGCTATTAATCTTCCATAGCTGTTTGATGGACAAAAAGACTAAAAAATGAAAAAACAATTCTTGAAATTTAATTGCAAAGGAGTCCTTCATCTTTTTGTGTAAATAATATAACGATAATAAATTGGCACATGACATTGCGTACTCAGAATCCTTTGGTCGCCATCTAGCTCCTGCTGTTCACACTGCTGAGCAGTGCATTCTTAATAGAACATTTCATTGAAATCGTTTATGAAGTTTTCATGTATCGTCGGTATCATCGTAATCGCTATCATCGCACTCATCCGGCTCTTTTATTGGGCCGTCATCTTCAGAGGCGTAGTTATTGCAGTCAGTACAACCGCAATTGTCAGTACATTGCAAACCAGACTTCACGCACGAGCATCGAAGATTCTTGCAACCAGCTTTACACTTGCATGTCACGCACTCAATAAGTGTATCTGGAGCAGATGGTCCAGTCATCCAAAGAATCTCTGACCATTTTTCATGTGCCATCCATGGCTCACAGGAGGTTGAACATTAATGTGCGATTGCAAACTATTCTTCCAGATGGCTGCTTGGTAGTTGGCTCTCTTAATGTGCAAAAGCATGCTATCTGCATTGGGAAGGCATTCGTCCGAACACTTGCCAGATGCAAAGAGAGTGTATCTAGGACCGAAAGAAATACAAAGCAAATGCAAAAGACAATAGTAGCAAAAATATATTTTATATTTACCTTGAAGCATTAACACGCGCTAAACTCTTATCGCCACAAAGAAGACATACAAATTTATTTAAAGAAAGCACAACTTCCTCAGGAAGATCAGATGTCGAACCAAGTAATTTAAATGTTTCTGACAAACTCAGGGTTATCATGAAGTACCTTCCACGGTTTCCTTCCCTACCCGTAAAGACACTCGTATAATCGCAGCCTATGCCGAAAAAAGAAATTATACCAATTGTAGATTATTTGAGGCTTTTACTTTTCATTTTATGATGAAGCCTTGTTTTTTTCAATTATGCAAAGAAAAAATTACAAGGTTTTATGGATGTTTGCTGGACATATAAATTGTACTCACCTGTGAATGCATGAAATGACGGTAAGCATTGGCACAAATCCTCTCCGAGTCCATCTGATATTGATGTGATATTTATGGCTCGAAATTTTTTACCAGTTCCCGTCAATAAATAAAGATCTTTACCAAATTGTAGAAAAATTGTAATTGGACATTTTTCACCATCAGTAAGATAACAAAAGTAAAATTATATTGTAGGTAGATTAAGTACAGAACATTACTATGTTACAAAACAGGAATACCTGTAAAATATTGGTTTATTTGTTACATTATTTACCGATTGAGTGACGAAGGACTTTTCTTGCTTGGATATTATGCATATTGATGGCAAAACTGCTTTAGTTCTTATCGGAGGTATAGAACTGTCATGACAAAACGAGGATGATCGTAGCAGTTTCGTGTGAGGCTCATTTACATCTGTCGACTTATTTTTTTGTATATAGTTTTCATTGACAGTGGCTGCTGAAGCTTCAAACTTTTTGATCATTCTTTTTTCAGGCTGTCTAATCAAGCCGACATTGGTGAACTTTGCATAGCAATTTCTATGGTACTTTAACTCTCCACGGTACTCAGCCAAAGACTTTTCATGGACTGAATTTTTTTCATCAAATTTTCTTTCTTTTCAGCGATGTCTTTCTGCTCACCATTGTATAGTAACCAAAGC